AAAAAAAAAAAAGTAAACCTTCCCACGTCTTGCTTCTTATTGGTTATTGTCGGGGAGAAAGCTAACCCTGATTTCCCAGGTTGATTTCATGTCGCTCTACTGGGTTCCCATGGCTCTTTTCACATTCTTAATTGTAAATTTTCTTGTCTGCCTTGTCCAGAAGACTATGACCACTGGGACCAGGTTTTATCCACTTTGCAGTCCTGTCTGGTGCTATATAAATATTTGTTGAGTTAAACTATTTACGCTGGTGCCTGGCATACACAACACCAAACACAACTTCCCTTCGGGTTTTCTTAAAGACATAGGTAGAAAGAATCACAGTTCAGATGGGCCCATTCTAAGAACAAATGCAGTAATTTCCTTGTCCTTGAACACCAGAAAAAGGCCCTGGCCATCAAAGTACTCACTGAAGCCAAACTGGGAGCTTAAGAAAAGAACAAAGCCATAAATCGCTCTTTCTGGTAATGGCGACGGTGAATTTTCCACCATTTTCCCTGTGGCTTTGGACAATCTGTGGAAAAGAAACACAATCATCGTCAGTGATTTACTCCCCTTCGTCACTGGTCTGTCGTAGCCTCATTGCTTTGCTATGGGGACAGCCTCTGCAGTTTTTTCCCCTAGCCTAAACCACTGCACGCGGCCAACCTGCGGACACACCTCCCAACACACACCGCTTGCACGCGCGCACAAGCCCCCGGACCTCGCGTGCGCGCGCGCACCCTGCAGCTGAGGGGGAGGGAGCGCAGAGCAGGGACAGACGCCGCTCCAGCCCTGCAGACTTCGCTTCCCTGCGGAAGGGCAGGGCAGGGCCGGGCCGGGCTCCTCCCCAGGTTTGGGCCCCGGCACCCGGGACCGGACCCTGTCCTCTCGGAGGAGCTTCTTGTTTCTCATTCGAGGCTGGGGGGGGGGTTGGCCCTCGACCTTGGGTCCTTGAAGCGTCCACCCAGACCCCTCCCGACAGCTCGACCACCTCAGCTTCGAGTCCCCTGCGCAAGCGCTGTCCGGGAAGCCTGGGGGGGGGGGGTGCGAGAGAAGAAAAACTGATGGAAAGGCCGGTTCGCGATGGCGCTCCCCCTACGCCTCCCCCCACCCCAGGCGCAGGCGCACCGCGACCCTCCCCGGCTTGCAGCAAGCCCGCACTGGGGGAAGCTAGATCGCTCCGCTCGCCGCCGCGGAAGCGGGGGGGCGGGGGGGCACGGTTACGCATGCGCGCTGCTGCCCACGTGATACGCCCGCCGCCTGCGCTGCCGCCCGCTCCCGCCCGCCCGCTGGCTGACGTGGAGGGCCCGAGGCGGCGGCGTCGGCGGCGGCCCGCGTCCGAGGCTCGCGGGCGGCGGGCCCCGGTGAGTGCACATCTGGCGCGCGGCGGGGCTCCCGGATGTGTCACCTTGTCGCGCTGCAGCCGAGATGCCCGGGGAGAGGGGCCCTCCACACCCCCTCCGTGGGTGTGTGGTGAGTGTGGGTGTGTGTGCGTCGCCCCGCGTCGCTAGCTGTGGTGCCTGTGGTGTGTGTGCGTGGGTCGGGGTGCCGGTGCGCTGGGGGTGTGGCCGCCTTTTTCGGCCCCAGTGGGTGTGTCCCCTTTGTCTTATGGTCCCCTTCTGCAAGCTTGGGCCCCTCCGGGCGTCTGTGCGAGGGTGGGAGTAGCCCCTTTGTGTGCGCATCCCCCTGCCGCCCGCGCACTCTCGTCTGGAGGGTGACAACCCTGATAGGCGAGGGGTCCTTCGGCCCGGGCGTGCGAGCACGCGCCTGTGTGTCCACTCTCGGCTTCTTTGTGTCGCGACCGTTCTTCTTGGCGTGGGCGCCTGTGGCCCGTGTGGGTGGCCCCTCGTTGTGTCACCGTCCCTCTCCGGGGGGTGCGCGTCCACTCCTCGCGTGGCCGCGCGTTCTGCAGTCGTGACCCTGTCCTGGGGCATCTCCCGCCCAGGTGTGCGTCTTATCGTGTACCCGCCCGCGTGTCGCGCCCGGATCCTGTCGAATGTATGATTCCCCCTTGTGCGCGTTTTCGTTCGCGAGTGTTCGTGAACGTTCGTGCACGCTCCATCCTCTGTGTTTTGTGTGCCTTACGTCTGCGCCACCTGCTTTCGTGAGAACGGCAGTCGAGTCCGGGGGTGGTGGCCTCCTTCCCTGGAAGGGACCAGGGAAGGGAGACGCTCCCCCCTCCCTTCTTTTGGAAGCATCCTCCCACCCCCAACGCTGGTGGGAAGAGGGGAGACGGCAGCGGGTCTGGCCAGCTGCTCTATAGTGTTGACGACAAGTGTGGCCTGTCGAACCAGCCTATTCTGGGGATGGAATAAGGGGGGAGCCAAGGGCCCAAAATCGAGCCTAGGCGTAGGCGAATTTTGGCTGGTACCCGTGCAGAGTGCCTTTTCCAGAAGCGCCCTAGACACCCAGAGCCCTTCACCTGCAGACTCCTTCCAAAATATACGTACACGCCAGCTGGGTAAATATATTTTAGCTGTTCCTGGGCATTCTTGATCATACTTAACGGTTCCTATAGTGTTTTATGGCGTTCACATAAATTGTCACTTGATTCTGCCCAACACCCTGGCGAGGGGAGTCAAGGTAGACATCTTACAGATTTTACTCCTCCCTTGGGAGCAGTTTCCTTATAGTTACAGCTTCAGTTAGGACATTTTTTTATTGCAAGAAATTTGCGTTTTATCCTGAGCGAAATGGGATTTATTACAAGGATACCCAGGGAAAGAGACTTCAAACCCGTTAAAGACTCTACCTTCTACGCCTCCTCTTGCTCAAAGGTTCGTGCTCTGCGCTCAAAGGCTGTGTTTTGGTGTCTGTTTATTTCTGTTCATTTGTTCACTTTTCTTACCTTTGCCTAATCTCCCTTTTTCTTTTTAACTTCTGGAATAATTCACACATAATATACGTAGGGGGATCTAACCAGTCCATGACCCAGATTTACAAATGTAATTATTTTGCCAGATTTACTTCAGATCCTTTTTTTTTTTTAAGAAGTAAAATTGCAGATATTGGAGGTGCTCCGAGCTCCTCCACCTCCTCTAGAGGCAGCCACCGTGTTCCTATTTTATACTTGATGCACAGTGAATCCATAAACAATATGTAGTGGTATGTGTTTTAAATTTTAACGGTGTTAAATGATAAGTGTCTTTTGCAACTTGCTTTTTTTGATCAGCATAATATTTTGAGGTTTATATACAAATAAATTGGATAATTGTGTTATCTTTGGTTCATTTCAATTACTGGTAAAGAACTCAATTGTATGAATATACCATAATCTATCCATTTCCTTATTGATGGATTTTGAAGTTGTTTCTGGTTTTTGACTAAAACAATCCTGCAATAAACCTCTTTGTACTTGCCTGCTTGTGCACACATTGGGAAGTTTGTCTAGAAAATGCACCTGTAGCAGAGTTGCTAGATAGGTTATGTGCATTTTCAATTTACTAAATATCACACAAGCTCTCAAGGTGGTTGTACTAATTTTCACTCACTGGTTTTGAGTGAGGACACCCATTTATTTCCTCACATCCTTGCTAATATTTTATGTTATTAGACTTTTAACTTTTTTTGTCTTCTCTTTACTGACCAGCTTCCTTGTACTTTAGTGTATGGCTAAATCTGCTTGCAGCCACCTTGGCTACTGCTCCAGCTCTGTGTCAGATGGGTTCATCTCTCACAGCTAATTTGCTCAGTCTTTATCTCATGTGGTCCTCATAAGTTTAATTCCAGTAAAAATTTATTTTGCACCTATGGTTGATGTAAAGTTAGTAATTTCCGTGATATGTATATGTACCTCTCTAGTTGAGGCGATTTAATTGCTTTTTAAAATACGATGAATGGTTTTGAAAAATCTTTTTTTCCTTTTTAATGTAATATTTGATATAATCAAAATATATGTAACACAATAAAGATAATAAAAAACAAAATATATGTAATATATATGCAGGTTATGAAGCAAAATAATAAAATGAACACCAATCAATACACCCAATCCAAGAATCAAAATGACCAATATCGAATGTACTCAACTGCAGAGTGACTACTATCCTGAATGGTGTCATTTCTTGCTTTTTAAATATAATTTTGCCAGATATGTGTATATTCCTCAACAATGTATTGTATGGTTTTTGACTTAAAAAAAGGAATTCTGGATACAGTTTTCTGAGACTTTGTTGTTTCACTCAATGTTGTTTCTAAGAATCACTGATACTGAGTATAGATGTAAGTCATTTTTTAAGGCTGTGTAATATTCCACGGCGAATATAACACAGTGTATGCATTCTTCTTTGATGAACATTTTGGCTCTTTCTAGGTGTTGCTATTACGAAATTTTCATACATATCTTCTGGTACACAGTTGCAAGAATTTCTCTACATTTCTCTACTGGTACATAGTTTGCAAGAATTTTCATGCTGGGGTGTATGACCCTCAGGGGAGTAATGAAGGTATTTCTAGGGAGTACTTGGGCACCACGGATATTGCCTCCATTTCTAGATGATTAAATTCCATGTGTACTCTTTCCTGATGTTGGTAACACCTGAGGCCTGTAATAGAGGCCTCCTGTTGCTTCCACTTTCACCTTACCTTTCCTAGTAGCACTTCTACCTTAGATAAGGAAGGCATACCACTCATCCACATGGAGTCTGACGAAGGCATTGTTCCAAGTGGAAAAGCTCCATGGAAAACAAAGAGATAATTTAAAATCTAGTGTATGTTGTTAGAGAAAGCCTTTTTAAATCCAGGCACTTCCCATTTCCTCAAGACTGCATTTGCAGTTCATTTTAACACTTATCTTCAATTATCAGTGTATATAGTTATTGTTGATCAGTCGTATGCAATAATACTTATAACAATTTAAGCCAGTGATGTGTCAGCTTTATTTTTAAATGTCACAAGAAATTCATCCTTTGCAATTATTTAAACTTAGACTGAGCATTTTAGGTGTCATCTTAGTGTGAAATGATTAGAAGTATTTTTTGTGGTTTGTGAGTAAAAAAAGGTTGGAATACCGCTGTGGTAAGCTATTTGCTAGAAGTGAAATTGCTGGATTATGGGGTATGAATGTTCAACTTTACCAAATTGTTTTCTGAAGTGGTTGTACCACCTTGTACTTCGACTAGCAGTTTTGTCAATTTATATACTTGGATGAGCAGTGTGTAAGAGTTATGGTTGATCTGTATCCACTCGAACACTTATTATCATCATCAGATTTCTTTATATTTGCTGATCAAATGGGTATGAAATGATTTGTCATTGTGATTTTTACTTGTATTTCTTTGTTAATGAGTTTGAGCATCTTTTCACATGTTTATGAACAGTTTTCCTTTTGTGACATGCCTGCTCGTATCTTTTAGCCATTTTTCTGTTGTCTTTTAAAACTAACAAATGGGTAACAGTGATCCTTTATTGATTGTATGCATTGTAAATATCTTCTTCCAGTTCATGGCTTGTCTTTTTACTCTTTATGGTGTATTTTGGTGAACAGAAGTTCTTAATTTTAATGTAATCTAATTGGAAACTTTACCTGGCCTTGGAATTATAAAGACGTTCTCCTATGTTTCTTTTTAGAAGTTTTAAAATGATGTCTTTCACATTTAAATTCATAATCCATCTGGTATTGATTTTTGTGTATAGTGTGAGGCACTGATCCACATTCATTTTTTTTTCCTCCATGTGGCTACAGCTGTCCTCATACCATAGGTGGAATTGTCCCTCTGTTCACCAGCATGGGTTTGTTTCTGGCTCCCTTTTTCTTTGCCACTTGTTTCCTTGTCTATCTCTGTGTTATACCACACTGTTATAATTATTAATCCTATAGCTTTACCAGAAATCTTGCTATTTGGGGCAAGGGGGTCTTGAGTCTCAGCTGTTCTTGGACCTCTGTTCTTGTTTTAAGAATCAACTTGTCACATGACATGAAAAACTCTTTGGGAATTAATTGGAATTATTGAATCAATTTGAGGGAGAATTGAAATCTTTAAGATTTTGAGCCTTCCTGTCTGAGAAAATGGTATGTATTTCTATTTATTTAGGTTTTTAATGTCTTTTAATTTGGTTTTGTAACTTTATACAGAGAGAACATTAAACATTAAAATATTCTAATGTTTCTAGTAGTTTTGTTTCAATTATAAATGGTGTTATTTTTTAAGATTCTATTTTCTGTGTTTACTGTTAGCAAATAGAAATTTAATGGATTTTTATATTAGTCTTTAGCCACCCAATTGATAAACCTTTATTGTTTCTAATATATTTTCTGTAATTCTTTTGAGTTCTATGTGAATAATTAGGTCATTGCAAATACACTTTTTGTTCTTCCTTGCAATTATTTTCCTTAAAAATTTTTTTCTTGTCTTAATATGCTGGCATACTTTTACATCTATGTTCAATGGAAGTGATGATGATGATTGTTCATTAAAAGTGATTGTAGTGGACATATACATGTCTCATTCCCGATTTTAAAGGGAATGTTTCTGCATTAAAAATATTCAAGTTC